TCACCCCATTTGGATACACCAAGCTCTAGATATGAATTTTTGAAGTTTGTAACTAAATCTGTGAAAAAAATTAATAAAGAAAATCAATTTCAAATCGGGCGCTACAGCTAGGTGCACCCAGTGTATACACCCCGCTATGACTGATGACTGGGCCCCACGGTCAACTCGGCCCCACGTGACAGAGCGACACAGCAGAGCACCGGCTTGGTCGGTGAAAAGCTCACTGACGGCGAGGTCACCGGCGACGAGGTCGGCACCAATGTGTTCCCCATACTATTCTGCATCTACAGGTACCCTCGGTTTGCTCGGAGGATCACTGGAGCAACCTCGTCGGCAAGCATGGCAGCTCAGCGGTGGTGCCCGATGGTGGACTCATCGTCTCCTGCGATGGCATGTCCAGGCAAGCGCGGCTACAACATCAGCAGGTCCTAGTGGAGCTCTAGGGTTAGGTTAGGGCGACGTTGGAGCGGTGGTGAAGCTTGGCCGCATGCATGGTGGCACGGCGGCGGCATGGTGATGTTCCGGCGGGAAAGGTGACGCAAGCGTGCATCCGTATTCCCCGTAAGCTTCGTCGTCCTAAGGCTAAACCCTAACGCCTAACTGCGAGAGAGTACGGCGACCGGATAGGCGTGGCCATGGTGACGTGCATGGCGGTGGCGCTCTCGGCTCACGGCGGTGCGGCTCGCGCTCCAGCACCGGCGATGCGGTAGCGGCTCAATGGGCTACAGCTATAGCTTCTAGGACCTACGACAAAGATGAATAAAGAGAGAGAGATTGGAGGAGCGGTGGATAGGGCTGGCCACAGCAAGCTCGGAGCTCGGTGGCGCTCCGTGGCCATGGCGGCGACGGCGACACGCAATGCGGCCTTACCCTTGCTCGAATGGCGGTGCTAGCGACTCGGTGAGGTGAATCACGTCAAAGCGAAGCTGTGGGTGAGATGGATTGGACGTTGGTGCGGTGTGGTTGGCATGCGAGCGTGAATGAGGCATGCAGCGGCGACGGTGGCTTGCTTCGCTCGGCTTCGAGCGAGAGAGTGAGGCAAGGTGAGGCAGAGAGAGTGAGCGCACGTGGAGAGCGAGCGGGGACGCAACTCCCTTTGCTGTCTACCCCGGCCTGACGCGCTGGCCCAACGTCGGCGTATGGCATCCACGCGGTGGATGCAGCCTGTGGCCAGTTGGCCACGACGTCACGCTGTCCCAGCCGGTTTCAGCCCTGCAACAGACGACTGACAGAGCAAGTTCGTGTACATGTAACTCCCAAACGAGCTCGATTCCGTGAAAACTTCCCTAATATGAATTGTAGAGCTATCGGAGATCTACAACTTTGCTTAAATGAGTTTGGCCTAATTCGAGCTGGTTTACAAGTTAAAATGCTCCAAAGTGGTGCACATTGAAACCGAAATCAGTTTGTGACTTAGCAAATTTTCTAAGTTTCAAAACAGCATTTTATTGATTTTTGTGAGCCCTATTTGACTAAGTTAGACACTATATTAGCTCATGACCCTTAAATAAAGTTTGTTACTCATGACAAGAACTACAATTTTTATTTAGGTTACACAGCCATTCAAGCTCTCTAAACTACTATTCAACTTTAGTCAAACTAGCATCATGAAAATAGCATTTCAAAGTAAACCAACACTTAGAAGCAAAACTGGCTTAAGTTATGAATATAAACATTGCTCCATTTATCATCCTAGATGTGTCTAAGGTGTTTTCTTGACCTCACAACCAATTCATACATTGGTCATGCATGATTACAAGCATATGTAAGTACATAAGCAACATCACATGTGATAAAGAGAAGGTAAATGAAATGAAACCTCATATACTCATGCTCATGAATGCTTGGATGATGCTTGTGCTCATGAAATACAAATGCCAAATGCAATGCTTAACACTGGGGTGTTACAATCCGAGGTTGTTTGAAAATTCAAATTTCAAATTTGAGAAATCAAACATAATTTTCGTTAGATAAATGGTTTCAAATGAAAAAGTTATCAACTACAAAGTTATATAACTTTTCGAGATCTACAATTTTTGTTTTGGTTACTTCTCCATCAAAGATTCTCAAATACCACTACACACTCACTTATGACTATGGAACATATGCCTTTAGTTGGTATTAACTTCTATGAAATCTTGCGAATCAAATAGAGTGACATCATAATGACTTCAAATAAGAAACTTGTAAACTACAAAGTTGCATAACTTTTCAGTATCTACAACTTTTGTTTTGGTCACTTCTCCATCCGAGATCCTTAACTACCACTGCACACTCACTTATGACTATGTAGCATATGGACTCCTTTGATATTAACTCCACAAACTCTTGTGGTGTATATTTGGACATCCAAACGATCTCAAATCAAAAAAGTTTGAACTACAAAGTTGTAGATCTTGTCACGGGTACTACAACTTTGATATAAAGTTTGTCTTCATTGCACATCGTATGAGAAAGTTATGAAAGTTTTCTTGTACTTAGGTATAAACCGATAGTGATGACCCAATATTAGTGTCGCTTGGTCCTATCACTGTCATCACTGCCGGTTTCTTAAAAACCGACAATGATGAAGCCGTCAGGGAATGTCAGATGTGTAGTAGTGACTCATTGATTTATCTTTTTATTTTGTTGGACTATTGCTTATGCTCTAATTAAGGTTGGTCATTTTTTAAGGGCCTTGTTAGTTTTGTTGGCATGACCAAGTTTTGCGCAATTAGTCCAAATGTAGACATCCAAAGTGTAACTCGTTTGTGTTTATGTGTTGGCGCCTGGCACCTCGCCATGGCATGCTAGTGTTTGTATTCCAAAACTTCTTCTTAATGAAATACGTGCAGCGCAAGTTCTCAAAAAAAAAAAAGTTTTGCGCAGCATCGTCCTAGATATTCGAGAAACGGCAAAGAGAGAGTCCTTTTGACCAGATCAAACTAAGTAACCAGTCACCGTAATATGTCCTCTTGTTTGAGGGAAACCTACAAAAAATGGAATAGACTGTTTGTTGCATTGCCCTGTCGCCATATGGAGTATCTCATATCAAACAAGGCTGGCCAAGGCCAACCAGCCAGCTTGCTTGCTTATATATTACTGCCTGGTTACCAGTCTGTTACAGTACTATGGGAGGGAGTAATAATAGCTAGATTATATATTGTCTGCATCTGCTGGTGCAGCAGTGTTATCCCCAGGCATCCATGCATACTACAGTAGTATTTACATAACTTGAGCTGGCAATGCAACAGTATTTATGGACTACTACTGCATAGCTCATATCAACAAGGCCAGCCAGCCAGCCAGCTTGCTTGCCTTGATTATTAGGAACGTCTATGGATGCATCACGTACGTCACCTTGGTTTGGCTGTTTCATCATCAGGCCAGGTGCTAGTGCTATGGATGCACCTATATAATAAGTATAAGTATCGCCGGCCAGCTGAAAATCAACACTCACACACTGTCACACAGTCGTCCAAAATCCAAACCAACAGCTAGATATCGACAACAGCAAAATGGTGTCCTTCAAGGCACGCCGGAGCGAGCCACAGCTGGTGTCGCCGGCGCGGCCGACGCCATGCGAGACCAAGCCACTGTCCGACATCGACGACCAGAACCTGCTCCGCTACTACGAGACGGTCGTCGGCTTCTTCCGCAACTGCCCTGGCCGGACCGACGACAGGCCGGCCGACCTCAAGGGGACCTTCAAGGCGGCGCTCGCGGAGGCGCTGGTGTACTACTACCCCGTCGCCGGCCGCCTCAGGGAGGAAGCCGGAGGGAAGCTCGTCGTGGACTGCACCGCGGAAGGCGTGGTGTTCGTCGACGCCGACGCCGACGTGCGGCTCCAGGACTTCGGGGAGCCGCTGCTGCCGCCGTATCCGTGCCTGGACCAGCTGCTCTGCGACCCTGGTGATGTAAAAGCCGTCATTGGCAGACCTTTGCTCTTCATGCAGGTACCTGTGTTATATGTCGTATACGTAGTTTCGTTCCTTTTTCTTTCTTTTCTTTCCCTATAACCGTTCTCCAAGTGGGTTCTATGCCTAGTCATTATCTTTTCATTTTAGTTATGTTTTGGGGAAGTGTTTTAAAATCTCCTAGGAACGTGAGAAGTGGATATGCATTTCTGTCGTATTTTAACCAGATCTTCAGATCGATACAATTGTAATTTTAGCAATGTGCTACATCTTTCCTGTAAGACTTTTTTCTGGTGCCTCAAAAAATATGTATCCTTGGAAAATTTTAAATTTGTGATTGAGATTATTCAAGGTTGAGGCATCACAAGATTGCATTTAAATATACCAAAACTAAAAGTAAAATGTACAAGTCAGGAAAGTTTTGAACATTCTCCTCTCTTCTTCTATATCTATATTTATATCTATACCTAATAATAAAGAGGCAAAATTTCTACACTAAATTTTCGTCTGGCCTCCGCAGTCCTATCTAACCATCCCCAATTCGAAATCAAATAGATTTCCTCGGGTCTCCCAAATCCATACAAGGATTTTCCAAACCAACAAGCCCAAATCAGCAAGCTGTGCCAGGGAGCAAGGTGCCAAGGACAAAATCGAGACTGAATCAAAATCCCCCAGCGATCCAAATCCAAACCCAAATCAGACTAACTCTAGAAAGACAACAACTTATAAAATCAAATCAATAATTTCGCTGCATGGCCAGCAGCACACAGCCAGCCCGACCGAGGAGCGTCGAGGCGTGCTGGCCACCAGGCAGGCCGTTGGACAGCGTGGTTGCTCGCTTCTCAAACGACCTCATCCAATCAACAAGAACTTTGGGTGTGTTTGGATCCTTATGTGAAGTTCCAAAACCTTTTCTCATCTTGCTAGGCAATCAAATGTATGTGAGTTTTTGATAGATAGCTAGCAAGTTTCCTCGTTTCTTATGCTAGCAAGGTTTTTCCCTTTGTTATCCCCAGATAGCAAGATTCTCTCCTTGCCGTGGCAAGATAAGGCTAGCTTGGCCTTGCGAGGCTGCCCTAATAACCAAACTGGACCTAAAACACCATGACACAAAACACAAAGCTGGAGCTCGCCCCTTTCTTCACCTACGCTAGCTGCCCGCTGCCATGCATTTCTCCATCTCATTCGCACGCCTCTGCCGTTGCTCTTTCATTGCTCTGTCGCACAGAACCGACTCGTCCCGATTTTCATGTAAGTGCGTGGCACCAAATCCTTCCCTTTCACCACCGCAGCAGCATGTTCATCACCACCATTATTGCTAATATTTGCATGGCTTTAACACCATCTAGAGGTGGGAAATGTTTGAAACACTCTGCTCAATCTCTCTTCTATGGTACATATACATATACATGAGTCTACCAACACATACATTATTGGACTGGGTTTCAGGCCAATGAAGTTTGAACCTACGGAAACATTACACACTCTAACATGAAGTAATCATACAAATAGTTCACTTTAATAGGTCAAGAGTCAAGACCAAACTCCAAAGAGCCTGCAAAAGTAGCTTTTTTTCAAATATTAAGTTAGAAAGAAGTGGACATTGGTTATTAGAAGATGTTACCGGCAGAAAAAAAATACTCTCCATATAGTAATATTTTTGTTGCAGTGCGCCCTCTGGCTATAAATTAAATTTGGGAAAAAATAATTAAACCATTCTGGTCAGGAAAAAAGAAACCTGGTACCTAGAGACAACGGAGTTCCTTGTATATATAGGTTGGAATCATAAAAGGTTTCTGATTTTGTGATATTTTCCCATTTTGTTTAGATGATTTCTATTGTACGGCTAGAAAGATTTATATTTCAGGAAAGTTTCTGAAGTTATTTGTAGTTGCAAGATATCAAAAATGAATGTACTAAATGCATAAGTAGGTTGAGATAGGTATATTTTTCTTATCATAAGTGATGTCGTCGTTTTATTTTCTCATATATAGGTGACAGAACTCAAATGTGGCGGATTTGTTGTTGGATTCCACATGTGCCATAACATCGCCGATGGATTCGGTATGATTCAACTCATGACAAGTGTAACTGAACTAATGGTTAAAGCATCCCCGAGCCTTCTTCCAGTCTGGAAAAGAGAGCTTCTAACTACAGCACAAAACACAACCCCCATCCCTTACCCAAACCCTGCATACAAACCACTGCTAAATAGCTTAGACTCTACATCAGATGACGTGATGCTGTCAATTCCGCCCAATCGCATGGTAGCCCAATACTTTGTCTTTGGGCAAAGAGAGGTGGCCGCTCTACGAAGCCACATACCAGGACACCTCGCCGATTCAACCACATCCTTTGAGCTTCTAACTGCAGTCATGTGGCGATGCCGCACCATAGCTTTGGGGTATGAACCTAGCCAGCGAGTGCGGCTTATAGTCACCATGAATGCCCGTGGCAGGTGGAATCGCCACACCCTCATCCCATGGGGTTACTATGGCAATGCACATGTTTCTCCTATAGTGGAACTGACAGTCGACGAGCTCTGTCGAATGACGCTCGCCGACACAGTTGAGCTCGTGCGTGAGACCAAGCTCAGCGTGACCAAGGAGTGCCTGGCATCGATGGTGGATACGACCGCATACATCCGTCAGAGGCCGTCTCTGACCATGGACAGGACGTACGAGGTCTCTGACACCAGATGGATTGCTGCCGTGAAAGGACTGCAGCTTGGGTGGGCTGAGTATGTGGGCGGCGGCATACCACTCGCCGGCGACCTTACTTCCAAGCTGGGAAGCCATCACATGAGGTGCCAGAACGAGGACGGCGAGGACTCCACGGTGGTGTCGCTGCTGCTGCCGAGGCCGGCGATGGAGAGTTTCAAGAAAGAGATGGCTGTTTGGATAAACAAGCATGACAAGAATCTCTAAATATACCCTGTTCCCTCTAGCAGCTATATGCTATAGATATCAAGGTTTACAAGGATTTAACTGTTTTGCTCAATGTCTTTTGTCGTTTTGAGATGGCTGAGTGTTTAGTTAAACACAGTTGGATTTCATTCTCCTTTCGCTTCTGCAAGGAGAAACAGTTGGATTTCTTTGTTCTTTAACCCTAGAGGACAAACAGTTGCATTGTTCTCATTCTTTAAATTTTGCAAGAACAATGTATTGCCGTTTCCCTAATTTGGAAGCCATGTTCAAAGCTTCTTTTCTCTAATTTGGAAGCTGGTGGTATCATTTCGCTACTGTAATGATATGTAAATATACTCTCACGTTTCAGAAGTTCAGAGCAACTATCGTTTTGTTAAACTAGGAGGAAAGGACCCTTCAATCTAGGGGGCGCTACAGTAATACCTGGGCAACCATACATTAGCTCACTGGATGTTAAACTTGATATCTGATAAACAGGGGCTCGAGTTTTTTTTCTTTTCTATTTCCATCGAAAGCATAATGATCATGAATGAAATAACCAAATCTGATTGCATGCATTCAGATTTCAGACAGATATCTGTTACTTAACAGCCGAACCAAAGTAAGAGTTCCAAACTCCTAACACCAGCAATGCCTAAGAGTTCACATACCACAAAAGCATACCAAATCATGCATCATCCTTTTAAGGTAATACATACAAGGCCATGAATATCACCAAAGATTAGTAGCTGATGTTTCCATCACTTCCCTCGGACTCATCATCTTTCAGATTTCCTTTGACCAGCCGTGGTCTCTTCTCTCGTTTTGAGCATGAAGCACCAGACGACGTCTTCCTTTTGATGGAGTGCGTTGGTGCTTCTTCATCACTTTCTTCTTCAGATGTCACATTGTCTGCCTCGATAAATAATCTATTTGCCAGCTTTGCTAGACCTGCACCATCGCCACTTCTTGCTTGTGCCATCAGCAAATCCCTATTGTGTGGTAGTTGGGCATGGAAGTGAAACATGCCCACCAGCCATTCAAACGGTTCGTTGTCACGGGGGAGGTAGGCAAGTATAGGATCTCTGTCACTCATTTGAGCTTTCCCTTGTATCCTCCTGTTGACGGTCACAAACACTGAATCCTCAAATTGCTTATTTTTAATCCAAGATGGCTTTTCTCTATGGATCTGAAAAGGGACAGAGAATAATGTAACAGAATTTCTTAGTTACCTCTTAAAATTATCTGAGTTACACAAATGAAATGATGATAAGTTGAAGAACTGATGGATGAATGTTTGAAACTAGCTCACTATGTTACCGTTTCAATCCAACTTGGCTCATAGGCCAATGAGCCACAGGTCAACCTCAATATTCTCAGTGCCATTGTGCTCAACTCCTTTGCTGCACCATCATGTAACTACCACCAGGAAACTACATACAGGACAAGAGTTAGCTTGTATATTAGACTAAAGAAGACTACATTGTGAACCTTGACAAACAAATAAAAAAAAAGCCAAGATGTTTCGTCCTGAAAGAAATTTACCTGGGTCAACATTCATCCAAGTACTAATGGCATGAGCTGTTCCAAAACTCTCTGAAGCTGTGCTGTAAAGCTTCAATTGATGAACAACTTTCTCTGTGTAGACTCATCTTGGTACATCTTACACGTGCACTCAACAATTGCATCTCTGAAGATTTCTGTCATTTCAATTTCATTTCTGCTTTGATAGTAGAACGAAGGATTCAAATAATAACCAGCTAAGTGCAATGGTTTCATCATGTACTCATCCATTCTAAAATCTATATAGTTCCATATTGGCAAATAGTGCTCTTCCTTGTTTTCAAAGCGGAAGGCAATTTCTTTTTTAGCGTTCACAAGTTCACCATATATGTATCCCATAGAGGGTCTGCCACTCCCCATCATCCTCAGAACCTCTACTAGTGGTTCAAAACTATTTATAGCATATAACACATTATGCCAAAACTCATTGCTCACTACTAAATTATAGAATTTCTTGCCCACTGCTTCCTTCGACCACTTGCTGTCCTCCCATTCTTTAGAAACAAACATAGTCTTCAACTCAATCCTTTTATCATAAAGGCTCCTTAAGTTAAAGCAGCAAGTGGTGAAATAGGTTATCCCAACATGAACCAAATCCTGCTGGTTGGTGAACTGGCGGGTCATGTCCTGCAAATTTGTTTGTGCATAAATAAAAGCTGTCAGTGATCTTGCTTTAGCGACTGTTTTCTTGATTAAACTAATATGCCTTATGTCTTCAAGCATCATATTAATGGAACTTGCAGCACAATGAGTCCAAAATATGTTCGGTCTCTTTCTAGGCATTTTTTCTGCAGTCATCTCTATAACAACGTTTCCAATGACCTGCACCACATTTTTCTCTCCAACTTCTTCAATACAAGAATCAACTAGTCGGCAAACAAATGCTTGGTCGTAGCCGTGTGAAGTTAGTTGGATGGAACGAAGGAATGACACACCATGAGAACAATCAACTGCCAAGTTTAACATCCGTCTGTCATCATCATCAACATGTGTATAAGCCATAATAGAGCATCCTTCGGACATCCAGTATTTTTTCAGTGCTTCAATTGAACCATTGATTGCTAAAAGTTGCCTCTGAAGTAAGGGGCCATCAAGCTCACCAAGAGAGGGTACCTGTAAACCAGGGCCGCATTGTGCAATTGCTTCTACCATTAAGTCAAAACTCTCTATACAAGCAGTATTAAAAGGAATCCCAGCTTCATGCAACCATGCGCTCAATAGCCTTTCGCTTCTTTTCCATCTATTCTGAATTGTGGATAGCTTGTGCATTTTCTCCTTTCTCAATTTCTTGCTCTGTATTTGGCACTGAAAGCGTATCGATTGGCCCTTTACTATCTTGATCAACGGATCTCAAATGATTATCTTGTGATGTATTTCCCTGGTCATTGTCACCCAGTCTGCATCATACACTCTCGTCAATCATGGGTTATTTCACTAAAGTACATCAAGGATGGATAGCACAACGAGAGTTTCAGTCAACATATTCAGCTCCACAAAAGATGCCTGTAAGTTCCTACACAACTGGCTCTGCCATGTTTGGGTTGTAATAAAAAAGGATGAAAAGAGTTGGCTTCTCTACACAGCTTTTGTTGTAGTCATTAGGCAAGCGCACTGCATCTTTCTTTACTTCTGACTTTCTCTGTTTGGTGTGTTGTTTGGTAAAAATAAATTGAGCAAAATAGCAAAAAGTATGCACCAAGAATCAAGTTTAACACAAACCACTCTAGAGTGTAGACTTAGAATTGTCAGAATAAATGCAACTACTTTTTGGGTACTTTTGTTTAGTTCTTCATAACTGGCAGCAAACCATTGTTGAAACTTGATATCCATCTGTTGAAGTTAATACCTTCTTAAAGTAGGCCATATGTTGAAACTTGGGTCAGCAAAATCACAAAGATATTACAAAGGTATTAACATCAACAGATGGATATTAGCAGGGTAGAGGGTACTAAGAACAGCACTAGTCGAATAATAGTTTTGCAGCATCTGATCTGGTATTTTAAGACTATGGTAGTGAAAGCAGCAATCATTTTGCCTGCATTCGCAATCTTCTTTCATCTTGCTGAGCTCAAGTATACTCCTACGCCCCACTCCAACCACATAGTCGGATACTCCAAGCTGCAATCGTATCACTAGAACCCTCGGATGCATCCTGGAATCCTAAAATTCATGGACAGCTAGGCCGTCCGCTGCAGTCCACAGGACAAACTAACAAGCAACGCAGACAAATTAACTCACGGAAATCTGTGCCGCAATTAAATTAGCTCGCACGGGAGAATGGGGGAAAAAGGCGAAATTGCATTTAAGCAATCCACGCAAAGAGCAAGCAAGAGCGAGCAAAGAGGAGGACCTGGCAGAAGAAGCGGCGGCGTCCATTTCCAGCTTCACATGCGGAGAAACCCAACCGGCCGACCAAGGGGTCGAGAGGATAAGGGTTGGGGAATGGTCTTGGGGACGTGAAATGCGGGGGCCGGTGGCGCGTGGCAGCAGCGGGGGAAGTGGGGAGGGTGGCCGGAGTCGGCGGGAAGGGCTCTTGGTTTCCCGCCGCTTGGGCAATGAGTTAGGTTTGGTTTCCCGCCGCCGCGGCTGCTCTGGTGGTGGTGGTGGTGGTGGTGGGCAGAGGGTGTGTGTGCGCGTAGACTGATTCGGCCCTTGGATGGGCTGGGCCTGGTCCTCGAAGAGCGAGTGCTTATCGAGCTCCGTTAGTTAATGCTAGCTAAAAAAAAAGTTAATGCTATGGTACGATGATTAGTTTCTTTCTGGTGATAGATGTGATACAGTAATTCTCTGCCGCGGACGTCCGTCCTCCGAAAGCTCCGTCGGGGGCCGCACACCAGCCTAATAAGTACCTTCGTTTCTAAAATAACTACTCCTCCACTAATTCTTATCCACTCATTCCTCTTAATCGTCCTCATCCATCAGGCGAGCAATCGCAGCGCACTGCTTTTTACGGTGCCCCGTGCTCAGGTCCTCGTCCTACCTTCTATGCGACCTCTCCACCGTCGCCGTGCTCCTCTACGTGGCGTTGGTGGCGATCCTGTCGCCCCCTGTCGGCAGCGCGCTACATTTGGCGGCGTGGCCGCTCTACTGGGGTGGCGTAGGGCTACACATTCAATAGTGTGTGGGTGGTCGCGCACGAGTGCAGCCATGCCTTCTCGGAACACGTGGCGCTGGACGACGCCGTCGGCTTCGCTCTCCACACGTCGCTCTTGTGAACAATACACATCAACGAGCCACCATTTTCCCGAAAGGCAAGGAGATGTTGCACTGAAAGCACATGTTGCAAGTGTATGTTTTAATTGTTTCAGATATTTCAGAGACATATTGCACGGATGTAGCAAAAGTAGATCGGGATGTTGCATATGTTGCAATGGTTGACACATATGTTGCAAGCTGATGTTCTCTATGTTTCATCTTTTTTCTCCTGACATATGTTGGATGTGTGTTTATCTGGATGT